CCTGACCAATGAAAAAGACAGAACTCAAATTACGGGAACATTCTCTTCCACAACACATTTTCCAATATTATCTGATTAATAATAAATAAAATTCATAACATGTTAAACTTATGAACGATATATTTCTCCTTATTCTATAATACAAACCTATCTATCTATCTATCTATCTATCTATCTATCTATCTATCTATCTATCTATCTGTGTCTATTCACATCTATATCTATTCATATCTGTGTCTGCTAATATCTATCTATCTATCTATCTATCTATCTATCTATCTATCTATCTATCTATCTATCGAAAAGTGGACACTGAAGTCAACACCCGGCGGCGACACTCTGTTTTGTGCTTATATGTAATCACGATGGCCTGACAATTGCGTATAAGTATGAAACAGATTGTCAACTGTGGGTGTTGACTTCAATGTCCACTTTTATATTTATATGCGATCTGTCCCTGATATTGAGCACTTTAACCCATACATATAGCATACCTTTTAAATTATATTTTATCATATATATATATATATATATATATATATATATATATATATATATATATATATATATGTGTGTGTGTGTGTGTGTGTGTGTGTGTGTGTGTGTGTAGTTGTTTTCAATACATTTATATTAAACATATTATATCTGGGCAGTAGTCATTCATTTAAACATACTTAATAAAATGGAACAGCCAAGGAATGCCTGTTGAAACATTTGGGGATGTTGTTATTAATAGAATTTAACTAAATAAATCGATTAATGACATTGGTTGAAAGTACTTGTACCATAACATATAATTCCTTAGGAATTTTCCACCTGACATCAAACTACTTAATCGTCATTAGAAAAAACTGATTAACAATCTCTATCCGTTGTAAATGCCCAAACATACAATTTAAAATATCTATCTATCTATCTATCTATCTATCTATCTATCTATCTATCTATCTATCTATCTATATATATATATATATATATATATATATGTATAAATATATATATATTAGAGTGCGAAGCATATATATTATATCATAAAGAAGTAATTCATGTGTAGCGTGTATTGGGCAAGTAGACCTGACGTAGCCCATTTATTTCTAGGTCAAACCGCAACCAATGTCCTCCATCTTGAACGCTCGCTTTGATCACGGACACGTGGCTATTGATTCCATCGAGAGAACCCTTCGTTCTGACAGCGGACTTCAGTATAGGAAACCGTCTGCACAGGGATCCCGTGCCATCACCGCATATCCTGCATACATAGCGACCCCATCGCGCTAAATGGTCATTGACCGTAAAGAAGAGTCATATGCCCTTTGATAGATCCTTCAATCGTACTGAGTGTCTATCCACAGAACTCATAAGAAAAGTCTGATTGGTGGGAGAAAGGTTTAATCGTTGATGGGCCGGAAAATATAGTCGGTAATTCTGGGATACATGAAAATAGACGGACTCGTACAGCGATCTGATACTTGATATTAGAAACAAGTTCAAAATAATTCACTCAAAATTAAAATTTAAAAATTAAATTTAAATTAAAAAAATCCAAATTAATGTAGTGCAAATATTCCCAAGCTTTGTTCAACCAGGTAGAAAGTTTCCTCTATAATGCCCACAATTCGGTTCGAAGCGCTCATCAAGTTGGCTTGTTGGACGTTACAGAACTAAGTATTTAGATAATATTTCTGAACATATTTGATAAAACTTTCGATGATATTAACAAGGTTGGAGTAGAGGAATACTAGGAAAAGAAAAGATTTCAGTTTAGAAAGCGAAGAAGTAAAAAAAGAGAAAGAAAAATAATATTTTAGGCTCAAGATGAGAGATACAAAAGAAATCAGTGTTTCGTTTATATTTCAATATGTGTATATCTTTAGCCTGAAGTTACAAGAACGAAGTTGCTTCGATAGATGACTATGCATGCTGAAAGGCATTCATCTTGAAGATGGTAAATTTGAAATCTGCACAAATAAGTCATAAGCTTTTAATGAATTCACGTGTTTGTATGGCAAAAGCGTCTTCAAAATAAGGCTGAAACGAATATTAGTATTAAACATTTGTAAACGTTTTTTTTTTGTTTTTTTTAGTTAGGCATTGTAATATGCTTGACATCGTTCAAGTGGCTAACTTTACTGCTACGAGACACAATATGTAATTACCATATTCAATATATACATACATAGACACACACACACACATATATATATATATATATATATATAAAGTGAGAGAAAAAGTAAAAGAAAAAGTGAGAGGAACAGACATAGACTTTGAGATATAGAAAAGCGTTTGAAAGTGATGAAAATCTATTTTGCTTTTCTAAAAATAATATTATCAATTTAATGATTTTCTAGTGGCAACTGGTTCAATACTCGACTTTACGGAAGCCCATAAAGAACAAAAACCTAAAATGTCCTCTGCGAGTAACACTCTGAAATTGAAAAGAACAAAATTAAAATGAAACGCACACACACACACACACACAGATGCACGCACACAAACACACACGCGCGCGCGCGAACACACACACTCACAAATGTAACCATGTAAGAATATGCAATTATTTCGTCGGTGTTCAAGTGGCTAATATTCAACAAATCCCCGGAAGTCCAGAGGCTAAAACATAACTACAAAATTCTGTATTCTAAAAAGTTGTTTCTACGGAAACCTAGAAATCAAATAGCTGGAACTATCCATAAAGTACAAGAAATTATTCGATTTAAATATCTCTTTTTCAACCGTATTAAGCTCATGAATTGATCTGAAAGCTTTTGAAAAAGGTTAAATGTTTTTCATCAAAACATATTGGTTTTTATTTGCTGTCTGTCCGTTAGAGGAATGGCCCACAGAGCTTGTAATTAGGCAAGTTTCCAATGACACCAAATTTGTGGAATATCCAAAAACAATGGTAAAAGCTACAATACATTCACTTAGGGGTATAGGTTAACTAACGAAATGCATTGAAATCTTTCTTAATCTATTTTTTGCCTCTCAAAAATAATCTTGAGATATAAAAAGACGTTTTTAAAATAAAAGCATAAAATGCCGGTTCACTCTAAAGTCTACTTCAATTCCATACTATCGTCCAATTCACAATCCTCCCTGATCTATTGAACAGGAGTAGAGGTTTATTCTGTGTTCTTTGTTTAGGATTGGGTTTCTGGTTCCTTTATCTATTATGTCTGATCATGAGCCGTCCTAATGTTTGAATGTTTGCTTTTATTTCTGGTGAATATAAAGACAAAAATTGTCCAACATTTTTTATTAAGTTGGTCCTAAGGTTTTGGCTCACATTAGCCATCCTCAAAGTGGTTATACAGACATGAAACAAAGATATCCACCGTCAAAGATGATATTTTGTTATTTTGACATAGATGCGGTTCTATGACGTCATACCACGTGATAGACCGAAGTATTACAACAAAACCAATGTCTAGATGCAATGTAATGTGTTGCGACTAATTTGAAATGTAATTTTGTTGAGTGTGGCTTGCTTTGTTTTAATGTAGATGGCCTCCAATATCTGAAGGGTCTTTTTACTGTCTGTATGTGTGAGTATTGTGTTATCAACTAATATTCTGTGCATGTCTATGCTTTCTAAGAAATGTTGCTTAATAAAACTAAGATCAGAAATTCACCAGAAATTAAAGCATTCTAGCATTAGAACGGCTCACGATAAAACATAATAGACATTCATTGCCTGTTATATTTAAGAATATATGCTTAAATACTGATCTGCTGCCCCAATACACTATATATATATATATATATATATATATATATATATATATTTCTCCATTAGACGAAAATAGATAACTAATAAATAAACGGACCGTCTACACAAATATGCCTATCCACTAAAAATAGCGTTTAAGTAATAAAATCTGTCGTATTTATAACTAAAAATCCATTACTTTAGATACGCACACGCACACAGACGCACACACACACACACACACACACAAACATATATATAACGATATATAACGCTTTATATATAATCACACAACGTGAAGTGTAATATAAGAAAAGCAAGTTTTGAAATAGTATTGTATATATATATTATATGATGTGAAGTATGTAAAATATTGTCAGTCCTCAAAAGAAATATATTAAAGAAAAAACGTTGTTGCCTAGGGAATGAACTTGTGTATAACACTTGTTATAAACATAGATTTGCGTTGCTTTTATATGACGTAGAAAATAAAAATGCTTGGTAGAAAATAAAAATACTTGATAGAAAATAGATACCTTTTATTATTCTGAAATTGCCATCAGAAATATTATCAAAACAATATCAGGAAAGTCAAACTTGTTATGAAAATTCATCTTGTCTTTTTCTTTTAACAGTAAATAAGATCGCAGGAAGTTTTACATGAAACATTTTTACAATAGAATTTGGTAAAATTTACTAGTTATATTTGTTTACATTAATTTAATTCTCTGTTACAAAAATTCGCAAGACGACTTTCACGGCTACTTTTATTTCCCGCCATTTGCTTCATATTTAATTTAAACGACTTCAGTTTTGTATTTAGGCGAATATAGCTTTACTCCTTTTTGTGAAATGGCATTTTTTGTAAGTGGAAATGATAAGCCTGTCTGAAATAATTGTTTGTCTTGCACATAATATTCCCGTCAATGAAAATGAAAAATATTAATCTATCAACTAAAATAAATGCTTCAGGCATTAACTATTTATGATTTATATATCATTCATTATCGTTTATTATCGTCATTATTATCTCTTAATCCTTGTTTATCTACCTATGATCCTATCTCATCATGATCGTCTATATCTATCTACTGATCGATATGTCTCTGATAATATGAACCGAGTCAGTATCGCTGTCTCATTGTTCGCATCTATCTTGCCGCTTAACAAAATCAGTCAACCAACTAATCAGCTAAAGTGTATTTTGAAAACAGAATACCATATATCATATTTTTATTACTTCAAAGCTCCCAACAAAATAAAATTTCGGTATTAAATGATAAATAAGAAGTTGATATACCGTTAAACAAACAAATGAAACAATCAAAATCAATCTATCTATCTATCTATCTATCTATCTATCTATCTATCTATCTATCTTACACTTGTTCATATCTATCTATCTATCTATCTATCTATCTATCTATTTACACTTGTTCATATCTATCTATCTATCTATCTATCTATCTATCTATCTATCTATCTATCTATCTATCTATCTATCTTACACTTGTTCATATCTATCTATCTATCTATCTATCTATCTATCTATCTATCTATCTACACTTGTTCATATCTATCTATCTATATATCTATTTACACTTGTTCATATCTATCTATCTATCTATCTATCTATCTATCTATCTATCTATCTATCTTACACTTGTTCATATCTATCTATCTATCTATCTATCTATCTATCTATCTATCTATCTACACTTGTTCATATCTATCTATCTCTATCTATCTATCTATCTATCTATCTATCTATCTATCTATCTTACACTTGTTCATATCTATCTATCTATCTATCTATCTATCTATCTATCTATCTATCTATCTATCAGTGTTTCGGTTCTCATCTGCCTATCTGGTGGATGTATTAGTGCAGAAAGCAGGATTGGTATACCGAGTTCAAATCTTTTCTCAACTAGGAGTTAGTAACAGGGCAGAATGAGTTCTATAGCCTTGGTTGGCAGCAAGTCTATGAGAAGGAAAATTTTGAATTCAAAACCAGCTGACCGTGGACCTCACAATTCCAACTGGTAAGAATCTACTTATTCCAGAAACCATAGCAGCAACCGGGAGTCAACGCCTAGCGTTCTGCGGCTGAGACTCCTATACTCCGTTGGGGAGTCTACAGGTCGGACCGACCGACTGACCGGCCTACTAAGGTACATACATATTTATCTATATATCTTTCTATCTCATTCAGTAAGCTTGTTCTAACTGTTGTTTCATGTATAAACTGTCAAATACGCACAGCACGTCTACAATGTGGGCGGATGTATTTAAAGATACTCTTCCTGGAGTAGGTTTTCTTCTTTCCCAATTAGTGTGCCTCGCTTTGAAGTGAAACAAATATTCTACAAATACCTTTGCGGCTAAGAGAATCTTACATGCGGTTTTAATGTTTATCTGTGGCCATTTCCCACTGAGGGAAAATTTGTAGATCAACTCATGCCACAAATATAAATATTTTTTTCCAATGGCTAATTATTTCAGTACAAAGTGTAAAGCAGCGTGATTATAGTTGCTAGGTTATTTAAATAGTGTATGTTGACAGAGTTCAATTATGCGAAAGGGCATCTTTTTATTATTGCACTTTCATTGTCCAATTCGTGCAATTATAAAATCTGATATGAATAAGTGCTTATGTACACGCGGACTAATGTCCAACTATGTCCAACTATGTCCAACCAAGAATTGAACTCACAATTCGTATATCACCACATTCACGAGATAACGTTTTAATTCACAAAGTCGTTGTCCCCACACGATTTAAATTGGTTCATTGATTTTGTTTAGCGGCATATCAACCTTTATGGGTTATTTAATATAGAAATCTAAATATTTTGTACGCAATTTTATGGCTTCAGCTACAGACATTTTCTACATAATTTTAACCTCCAGCTCAAACGTATTTTTTAGATATATAGTTTGTAGATGATAAAAAGTATTGTTGGTAATTAATATATATATATATATATATATATATATATATATATATATATATTGCCAGTAATTTCACGACAAAAATATATTGCTGCTATTTTTTTGTAAAATGTATTGCTGGTAATTTTACTATAAAATGTATTATAGCTCATTTTGCTCCAAAATGTATTACTAGTGATTTTGCTTTTAAAATGTATTGTTAGTTGGCTAGATGTAAGGGGTGATGTGGTTGCAGAAATTATCTGACAGCCATGACTGGGTTCTCTTGCTTGTGTGGCATGGTACAGAGTCGTGTTGTCAGACATAGGGGCTTCCAGCAGCCACTCTCTTGACCCGGGGCAGCACTAATTCCTTAAGGCACTTGATGCAGGCCTTCATGTTGAGTCTGAGGCCCTTATCAACAAATCTGGGAGTTCTTTTCTTGCAAGTTGGTGAATGATGCCATAAATCTTGCTTGAAGTTTATCTTTGGTATTACAAAGAGTTTTGTTGGTCTCTCACTCAACTGCACCCACACATAATAATCAAGGGGGTTGCAGTCTGGGGAGTTAGGTGGCCAGATGTAAGAAGTGATGTGGTCGCAGAAATTGTCTGACAGCCATGATTGGGTTCTCTTGTTTGTGTGGTATGGTACAGAGTCCTGTTGTCAGACATATGGTCTTCCAGTAGCCACTCTCTTAACTCAGGGCAGCACTATCTTCTCAAGGCACTTGATGCAGACCTTCGTGTTGAGTCTGGAGCGCTGTGGGAAGATGAATGGAGACATAACGTCGCCATCATTAGTGGTCACTCCAAACACCTTCGTAATCACAATTAGACTCACCCAACTCTTCCTGAATACTCTGCACTGTCCTCAGATTGACACCCAAGCACTCTGAAATATTCATATTAGAGCTTCCAGCGCGAATGCCAAGCAGTACAGCATGCCGTTTCCAAATTTCTGACCAAGTGAATTGCACCATTTTACTCTTTTTCTCACAGACGGTGCGCAACTGGTCCTACAATACATATATATCCAAATGAGAGAAAGAAAAAATGTATTAAAAATCCACAGTTCATACCATTTACTTTTTTTTTTAAAAGTGCTCAATATATATATATATATATATATATATATATATATATATATATATAAGCTCTACTATAGAAAACACAAAAGTTTAAAAAAATTATATCGGGAGTACCAAGAATTCCTTTAAAACTAGGTGGTATCAACATATATTATCTTTCACGAACAAGGTGTACAGAAACAGAGCACCCCTTTCTAAATATTTTTGGAACTTAAAAGAAGTTAACAAACACCTACAGTAAAATAGAAAATATTAAAAAAAACTAGAACTTGTTAATCGTTAAATGAACCGTGTTTCCTATGTTTACAAGTAAAATTAAAAATAATCAAATTTGCTGACAAAAAAGCGCTGTTAAAACAAAGGGAGTGAATTAACTGTAAACTGCCGACATATCTTAAAATATAGTTAACATTTAAAAAAAATATTTACGTATTACTATTTTTATAGCCATAATTTATTAGCATATAATGCTCCACCCTCTACGGGTAATTAACTTATTCACCTTAAATATTGCTAAGTATAACCATCTATTTAGTATTATTAACATCGTATATAGATGTTCCACATTTTAATTTTATCTACAGGCCCCTTTCTTCCTGAATATAAAAAAATATTCTGTTAACTTTACATCTGATAGACCTACCAACTCCCTTAAACAAATAGAACTGGGTACAATCACGATACAATTGTCGCTGTCATTATTTCCTACTACTTCAATATATATATGTATATTTTTACATGTGGATGAGGCTATTATAATTGTATTTTCTACTAGTATGTTGTATGGAGTTTGGTAGGTTTCCGTGTGTATTTGTCTGTATTTCTGAGATGAGGTATTATGTGGTAAAAAATGGTTGCTGAAACATTAGGTTTATAATACCCAGAAATTTATGCAAAGGCGTCCTCAAGAACACATGGCACAGTGGATAAAGGCGTTGGTTAGATCCAGTGACAGGACCTGGTTAAGGCTGTGGAGATAACTGAAACTTCGAAATTCCAACCACCTGAAGAAGGAGCGTACAACGGCTGAAATGGTGAAATAAATATGGCGACAGAGATGAGGACATTCGTCTGAATAATGTAAATAGTTTCCGTGTGTGTTTAGAAGAATCCTAACTGATTGTCAGAAAAGTGTAACGTGAGACTTCTTGATAGGCATGTAGTTGTATGTCCAATATACTTATGAATGTGACTTGATCGTGACATGTGAATTTATAGATGATACTGATTTTCTGTAATTTGATCTTGTAAGTATGGTTGATAATAAGGTTAGATGTTTTAAATTTTTATAGTAGATAATTAATTTAATTTTATTGTTCTGGATCGACTGGGGCTGTCTATTTCTTTAAAATAGCTTACAGCTAACATCTTGCTTATAGTTAACATACATTTGGCTTTTATAGAAAATATATATTGTTAGCATCTGTATCTTCAGTATTTTTATTAGTTACTTTACAAAAATATAGTCTAATCTGGTTCGGAAAACCGCTGTTAACTAGCGTCTGTTTCACATCATTGAGAGGGTGAATTCTCGTGTGCACCTATTTTATATCTAAGAGGGCATTCACCCATAAATCTAAGGTGGTAAGTTTCTACTAGTAGGTTTTTGGTATAACGAAGTAGTGAATGTGTTACTATTGAATTCTACGAGAACATTTAAGAATGGGAGTTTATTTTTTTTGACTATGTTCTTTGGTGAAGTTAGGGACAGATTTTTCAAATGTGTTTGAGAGATTATCAATTTCTTTCTTGTTTTTAGCTAAAATAAAAAATATCATCTAGACAGAGGACATATTTTGGGTTCAGTAACTGTTTTAAATATCTTGTTTTCTACGTGGGACATTTAGTAGTTAGAGAAGAACTCAATAACGTAAAAGAATACTTCTGTAACAATTATAGGTAGACAAGAAAAATTAAATAAATAGCTTAGTCACTGTATCTTGTCAGTCGACTTTAATGAAACTTTAATATATATATATATATATATATATATATATATATATATATATATATATATATATATATATATGGATGACTATATTACGCTCTCGTTATTCGATTGGCCACTATTTCAAAAGAGTATCCGCCGCCGCTGTTAATGCACCGCTCTTCATTTGTATACATCCGTATATAATAGGTTAAAATTCCCGTTTCTCTGTCGTGCGCCGATAGCTTAGGATAGGAACTCTGATGCCAAATCGGTCTGGTTTCGATTTGGGCTTGATGTCTATCCACACTGATGAGCTGGGATACAGCGAAACAGGGTTGTATGCAAGTGACTATATATATATATATATATATATATATATATATATATATATAATATAACCATTTTGGTTTTCACCAGTCGACGTGCAACAAAATGCACAGAAACCAAATTGCATCTTTGATCTTTGTCATGAGTAAATTGTTTTTTTGTCTATATGAAAAAATTATATATATATATATATATATATATATTATAATTTTACACACACACACACACACACACACACACACATATATATATATATATATGTGTGTGTGTGTGTGTGTGTGTGTGTGTGTTTGTGTATTTCCTAAGAATTTATAGATTCTATTTTTAATCCGACATTATTTCTTAACTATAAACGTTACTCTTTGGGATACACAGGTTAGAATAGACGCCCTGATTTATTTTAATATATTTTAACCAATAGGAATACGTCTACTTGTTTGCTCATTTGAGAAACGCAATTGTCTTTATTAATACGCAATCCTGTAAACGTAATTCGTGTTATTAGTAATAAATAAAAAGGGGATGTCTCCTAAAAAGTTTCGATTGATAAGAAATATATCCGTGTATTTGTGGGTATGCATGTGCATCAAGATAAGCTTTACTTTTATTTCGCTACGATGTTCTTTGAACTTTTGAGTTCTACGAATATCATCAAATGGCCTCAACTTGCTTATATAGCAAGTCTCAACGTAGTAACGTGCCTTGAAGTTATACTACACGATAAATTAAATCAAGACCCCCCACCCCTGCTCATTAAAAGAAAATGTTATCCTTTTCCGCCCAGTTAACAAATAAAGCAATAATGGACGGTGATAACGGTTGGTCGAGTATATCACTGTTGATTGACTATCATCCTGGGGTATCTTTTGTGTATTAGTGTAGCGTAGGGAATGAGTGTTTTCACTTACTTTCGTTTGTGTGGCATGATAGGATAATTTTGAGACATTTGCTAATAATACACAATTGTCTAAAGTGGAAAAAATCTATTGAGAAGAGGAACGGAAAAATATCTAGGGAGAAACAATCCTGACCACGCATGCACACTGGTGTACCTTATATTTTTTTCTTGGTAGTGTCATACTTGGGTATTACTCCTTGATGTCAATTTTGTTGTGTTCAAGGAAGAAATCTGTTTACTGATTTTCAAGGTAGGCAAAAATGTCTTTTCCAGTTGAAATATTTGGACAACACAATATTTTTTTGTCTTAAGCAGGGTTATGTCGGATTAAGCTAAGATATTGTGAAGGGAAAAAGGATTCTGCAGTAGTTTCATTGATATCGGCATGGAATCGTCGAAGCGAGTTCAAATTCAGGGCTAGTTTGTTTCGTTTTCTTTCTTGTTTTTTAAAATCATTTCCAAGCAAGGCAATAAAGTCACTAAGAAAGGGTGTTAGAGAATATGGCAAAGAATAAAACTATTAACAAGAGTGACCAAGTACAGGAATTAAGACGAGAGGAGTTAACGATTGACATTGCATTTAAATTTTTAAAGATCAAAGTTGACTGAGAAGCAAGAAGACAGAAAAGTGTTCCACAAGTGCGATAGAATTAACTTAGCATAGAACTTATAGTCATCTCTAACCATTTAAACTGTTAAATGATAAGATCTTGTCGTCAATCTAGTAATGCGCTTAAATTCATAAAGTTTAGGTGCCATAAAGAAAGTTCAGCAGAAAAATTACCATAAAAGTATTTATAGAAAAGGCAAAACGAAGCTACATTATGGCGGTGGGAAAGACACTGAAGCCGAAATGCTAGGTAAGGACCAATAGCATTGCAGATTCTTCTTTGGATTCTATCAAGAATTTCTAAATGTGTAGTAGGAACATCAGACCAGATGTGACAGCAATATTCAATGCAAGCACGAATGGTAGATTTATAAATATGTAAGATAGAAATTTCCTTCCTTCCTTCCTTCCTTCCTTCCTTCCTTCCTTCCTTCCTTCCTACGAATATTCTTGTAAAAGATATGAATGAATCTCTTAACTCTTAAATTTCCGGATAGACTAGGACCTCGGGTGGCAACCAGTGTATGAGAAGGAAGACTGAATTTCAAACCTAAAGCGCAACTGGAAACTACTCCACTATTTTTCCCAAGAATTCATGACAATTCACAGATAATAGAGGAAAATCATTAGAGATTGATGCAGAATTCAACACTTTTGATATAAGGTGTTGACGTATTTTTTTAGTAAAAGTTTAATACTCCTGGAACATTTGTCCCACAAACAATATTGGCGGACTCATGTGAGTCTGGGCAAAATAAAAAACACAAAACATTTAAAACCAACAACAATTAATGCTTGTTATTAAGAAAATGACTTATATGTATACACAATGGAAATAAAATGAATATGTGTGTGTGTGTGAGTTCAGTCAACAAAAGACCAAGAAAGCGAACGCGTCCCGGCGGCAGCGTTCGACTATATTTGGAAACAAGAGTAAAAAAAGAGAGAATATTTTTTAGAGACTTAAAAAGTGCACCCTAGCGTTTTTGGCAAAGTCAAAGTGGGGTAACCCACAAGCGTTATGATCACTTATGACCTGAAGGGGCATGATATTAAAAAATCAAAAAAGACACAACACCGCAGTAAATATCGATATCTAAAAGTTTTTTTTTTTTTAGCTTAATACGATACAAGAATAAATTGAGATAGAGTTTGTTCCATCAGTTTTTCGAATAGGGAAGGGCCTATTTGTCTAGAAAAACACAGAACTTTAGCACAAGTAGGGCGTACATAATCATTCTTATATAATTCATACACTCAGATATAAACACAAAATATAATGTATGTCATTATAGAAGAGAGGCGTTTACTTGACGAATCTTTTACAGATATTTCCGATATATATTTTAGGCATTGGGTACCTCAAGGTGGTGTAATGATTAGCAAGCTTGTCTTGCTAGAACAGTTACGACTGAGTAGTGAGTTCGATCCTCACTGGGTGCCCCCTACTTTCGGCCTTGTGCCACATCTAAACTACACTTGGAAAATTACTATATATTTTAGGCATATCCAAATAGTATAATTACCATAAGGTTAACTATATACACTCAACCCATATATCTAGATACACAGGCCTTTGCACAGCTAATATATAAAGCTAAAATTTTGTATGTGTGTTTACTCGAAACCGGGAAAAGTAATTAAGCATAAATAAAGTCGGTTGTGTACGTGTGTCTTATTGCGTCTGCGCGAAAATATTACATAAAACTGTGACATCACATAAATGTAGTTTTATCAGTATGTGCCTTATAGATTGCCTAACTTATAAGTTCTTGCTTAATCGAAATAATTAATTTGCCTATTCAGTTTTAATCTTTTTCTAAAAACAAATCTGTATTTTGTATATATTTCCATTCTAATCATTTGTGAACTTTATAAATAAGAAATTGTTTTATGGACGGTTTTTATAATTAAATTACTTAAATATTTGTCTATATCTCTGAGATGAGGTATTATGATTACTTACATTATTTACATTATTCGGACTGTTATCCTCATCTTCATTGCCATATTCACAACGTTTCGGTCCGAACCCTTTAGTTTGTTTAGATAGGGTAGGTTGTTCTAGTTCCACGTGCCATGTCTCTTCTGGATGTCTCAGTCATTTCCCTTTAACTCAAATTTCCAAGTTTTGGTTCACCACTGCTGTGGCTTGGTATTGAACTCGCAACTATTTGGGTCTAGTCACTGGATCTAACCAACGTCTTTATCCACTAGGTCATGTGTCCTGAAGAAGGCCGGAGCGTACAACTGTCGAAATTATGCGAATATCGCAATGAAGATGAGGATAACAGATCGAATCATGTAAATAATTCAAGTAATCATCATACCTCATTTCAGAGATATAGATAGATATTAATAAATTCAGTATTCAAATTTTATATTGCAAATTGACTATTAGCAATCATTCGTTTTATTAATATATTAATTCTAGTAATATATGAATTCTAGTTCCACATGTCATGCCTCTTCCGGATGTCTCAGTTATTTCCCTTTAACTCAAATCTCCAAGTCTTGGTTCACCACTGCTTTGGCCTGGTATTGAACTCACAACTCTTTAGGTCTAGTCACTGGAGAAAATCCAATGTCTTTATCTACACGTGTTCATGTGTAGATTGCTTAGTTTTGTAAAGAAAACTGTTTTCTGTCCTGAAACTGGTAACCACCTTAGCATTTTGATCATAGTTCTGATATGAAGGAAAGTAAGTAATGTATAGAGGGATGTAAGTAATGCTGACATTTTTAATGTTTGGAAAATGTAATAACTATTATAACTTGCTGTATACGAAATAAACGATGAACTCTCGAACTGCTTCAATTATGTCATTTGACGGCATTCACAGAAAAGCAGAGAAAAGGAAAAGAAGTTGGTTCGCGAAACAGCGGGCAGTTTTGCTATAGAATATAAATAATAGCTGGAGATCGAAAGAACGTGAGTGTGAGAGAGAAAGAGAAAGAAAGTGGCTGAAAGAAACAAACAGAGAGAGAGAGAGAGAGAGAGAGAGAGAGAGAGAGAGAGGGAGAGAGGGAGAGAGAGAGAGAGAGGGGGGAGTGTTATATCTTTATAATGTCCTTCATGTTGAGTTGAAACTCTTTAATAGAAATCTTTATGGACATTTCACACAATAATTGTCATGATTTGTGCATATGAGAACACAGTTTGAAATATCGCACTCCGGGATGCATGAACTATCTCAAGATTACCTTAGAGTTCGTCATCAAAGCTGTCAGATTTAAAAGCATTTCAAAACCTCGTCTTTAATGTATTATCTTCTGTCTGTCAACACGCACCATTCAACTTTTCTTTCTTTCTTTCTTTCTTTCTTTCATTCTTTCTTTCTTTCCCATTCAACTTTTCATTTTCTTTCTTTCTTTCTTTCTTTCTTTCCCATTCAACTTTTCATTTTCTTTCTTTCTTTCTTTCTTTCTTTCTTTCTTTCCCATTCAACTTTTCATTTTCTTTCTTTCTTTCTTTCTTTCTTTCTTTCTTTCTTTCTTTCTTTCTTTCTTTCCCATTCAACTTTTCATTTTCTTTCTTTCTTTTCTTTTTTCTTTCTTTTCTTTCTTTTTTCTTTCTTTTCCCATTTTCTTTCCCATTCAACTTTTCATTTTCTTTTCTTTCTTTTCTTTCTTTCTTTCTTTCTTTCTTTCTTTCTTTCTTTTTCCCATTCAACTTTTCATTTTCTTTCTTTCTTTTTTCTTTCTTTCTTTCTTTCCCATTCAACTTTTCATTTTCTTTTCTTCTTTCTTTTCTTTTCTTTCTTTCTTTCTTTCTTTCTTTCTTTCTTTCTTTCTTTTCTTTCCCATTCAACTTTTCATTTTCTTTCTTTCTTTCTTTCTTTCTTTCTTTCTTTCTTTCTTTCTTTCTTTCTTTCTTTCCAACCTGATGACTTCAAAAGGGAAAGAAGTAAACACTTAATTTTTCTCTATCACTTTTCTTCCCTTTCTACTTTTCCTCACTTCCCACTATTTTTTTTCCGTTTGATAACGTAGAACGCCTTCGATTCCTTCTGCCATATCACAATCTATCTATCTATCTATCTATCTATCTATCTATCTATCTATCTATCTATCTATGCGGGCTACCGTCACAGTTAGCAAAACAAAAACGGAGTACAAATTCCGGCTGGGACAGTTCACTTGCATTAATGCTCTTGAGAATGGACTTCTTTCTACCCTGTGTTATAGACAAGCGTACGGTTGCAAGAAAGAAATACGACAACAGCAGAAATAGATGTACGTGATTTATTTCAATAGGAACGTGTGGTTTGGGGACAGCTACTCTGTTGTATAGTTCATAAGCCGGTTGTCGACCTGGGTTGATCTCTCATAGTAGTTCTCGCTGTTTGGCGTGGCGCTACTGCTGCTGACTGCTGCTGACTGCCCGTGACAGATCTCTTCCCTGGCCTGTTGACTGCTGTTGTACTTCCCCGTGTGACCCCTTCTATGACGTTTTTTATGGCTTAACAGGCTCGTAAAACGACACGAGTATAATTAGGAGGGAAGCATTTTTATTGGTCGAAAGATAGAAGCACTTTAAAATATTATTTTATTATTCGACCGGAACTCGTGCGTAAACGACGATAATGGTCATTTTGTGACGGGGCTTTGTCCCGTTCACATCCGGCTCTCTCTCTCTTAAGTATGTTAGTTTATTTGCCTGCAAATCAGCCGAGATATGTCTTTATATATTTTATTTTACAACACCTGTTTCATCTTTCTCTTACCCGTTTCATTCGGTATTTCCCTTACCCGTTTCACTCGTTCTTTTTCTTACCCGTTTTACTTTCAAGTTGAACGAGTGGAAGCATAAAGAAAAGCAGGACACAAAAAACCGTTTGCTTAAAAATCGTTAGTGTAACTTTTTTCCTCACGAAATCTAATGGTGCTGTTTGATTTGTATTTAATCTAGTATTTAATATCAACATTTGCAATTAATAATTATTGTGTCCATTTTTGTAACAGTTATCTTTAACAAAATTTTTTTTATTTCTTAATGCACAATTAATCGGGAGCAAAATGGCTTAGTGATTAGATATGCAGACAATGGAGTTGACCAAATTTAATTTCCGATGGAGATCATTAAAAATGTCATTTAATTTATATTATGCATTTACATTACTTTTTCTTTTTTGAAAGACTCTTAAGCCGCCTAAGAATTCTTCAGTGTTAAGAATTTTGAGTTAAGAGTTTTTTGTTAAGAATTTTACTTGTTCGTTACTCCATCCAGTCGATGACAGAGAAAGATAATCATTTTTTTCATGTGGATAATTAGCAGCCTTGCTAAAAGAAAGACGAAACTATTGCGCCATTTTAGCTCTGAATATTTTTAGATGCCTCCTTGCATTTCTATAATTGGATGTGTAAAAAAAAATATTTAAAAATATTCAATGTAATCGTACACATTATGTCTTTTTGCCGACGTTAAAAGCACTTCAAGGGAGCTAATTCTTAACAAAAACAAAGGTTACGCACCGTTTTTCACACGGATGAGGAGATTCTTTTGAACTATTGGCATCGCTTGTTTCCATTGCCTGGAAAGGCTCAGTATAATAAAACAGAGTAAGGGTTAAGCAGGCTGCGATCTGTTTTTTTGGACTTTCGATAAGAAAATTCAAGATGTAGTTTTTGATAATATTCCTCACACTTCTTCAGCTGTGGCCAAAAAATATTATGCGATTACTTTTAAGAAAATTATTTCAATATTTTACATTTTTTAGATGTTAGAATTCACTGTTAGATCCAGTGGCACATCATGTGATGTTGTTGAAAGGGCAAACATGGACAAATATGCCTGTAATAAACCGTAGTGTCAATATGACGTTTTTTTTTTCCTCCTCATGGCATCGCTTTTATTTTCACTAGCTTCTTAACTCTTCGGCAATGTTTTTTTTTTTTTAAAAGCGTTGATTAGAATTAATTAGAATAAAATCTAAACATTTGATGAAAGTGAAATTATACATTTTTTGTTCTTAAGAATTTACAACAAAAATATTAAATACTATTAGATTGTTTATTTACAAGAACAATTTTATATTTACAGTGTAACCCGGATATAAGAGACCCTGATATAAGAGAAACCCGGATATAAGAGAGATTTTCTCTGGTCCCAAATTAGAGCCTGTGTTAATGTATATAAAATAGACCAAACCCGGATATAAGAGAAACCCGGATATAAGAGACTTTTTCTCCGGTCCCGACAACTCTCTTATATCCGGGTTACACTGTACAACTTTTTGAAAACTAATAAAATTGTATTGAAATTAATGCAATGTCATATTTATCATTTACTAATTCATAAAGAAATCAATATGAAAATTTTTTTTTATTTATAAACATTTACTAAATTATTAAAATATGGGGACTAACTATAAGAAAATCTTTATTATTTATCATTTTATAAAGTTTGAATCGATTGTCAATTAGCCGATGTTTTGCCACACATTTAAATATATAATAAATAAATAGTATTTATTATTTTTGTTGTCAATTCTCAAGAACAAAGAAAATGTAAAAATTCTCTTTCATATGTTTAGGTTTTATTCAAAATGGTACAATTATATGAAGTTCAACACAGCAATCACAACAGCCAATCAGATGAGAGTATAACAGACTCAATAACTCGTAATTAAATGAGGCCAATATGGTGACAGATAAAAGCAGCATAGAAACTTGCAGGTGGGACTCATAAATATATTCAGGACAGGTAACCCAATCCGCTCAACCGGTCTCCGATAGAGTGTCACTCTCAAATCGTCTTAGTTGAGAACTCATTCTCCAAGCTTTATAAAACAACTCTGTCGAAACCCGGCCATGATGTTCTTCTACTATACTTGATCATGAACAATAATAATAATAATAATAATAATAATAAAAGAAGCCAACAAATTCAAAATGGAATTTCAAATTGGTGAAAAAGTGAAAGTAAACCATAATACACCTACTGCAGTGGAAGAAGGTAAAAAGCAAATGCAATGAGCCAAATGCAGAAACGATGGCAAGATAAGCCTCTTTATGGTCAATACTTTTCCCGTATCAAATAAGCTGATGTAGAAGAATCCTGTACCTATCAGTGGCTACGTAAAGAAGTGTTATAAACTGAAACCGAGGGTTTTTATTCTTGCTGCACAGGACCAATGTTTGTTAACTAGAAATTAATAACTACACACACAGAAAAATTGTGTTAACCCGAAATGCAGATTCTGTAATAAATATCCAGAAACAATTGGCCATTTTTGTATCAGGTTTTATGGTCTTAGCACCCATTGAATATAAATCTCAACATAACAGAGTGGGTCAATATCTGCATTGGAAAATGTTTAACTTTTACGGAAAGGAAACTCCAAAAAACTGGCAATGAACACCACCCACACCAAGACTTGTAACAATTTTATGGGGGGGGGGACTTCACAATGAAAACACAGACAGAACGATCAAAGCGAATCACCCAGACATCGTGATTAAATGCCACAGTAACTTAATCTGCTTTATTATTGACATAACAGTTCTTGTAGACGGCAATCTTGAAGATCTTAAAATTAATTATCAAAATACAAAGATCTTGGAGTGAAAATCACAAACATGTGGCACAAGAGGACATCAATAATACCAGTTGTGGTTGGAGCACTCGGATTAATTAGAAAAGATTCTAAAGGTTCTAATAGACTCAATGAAGGAATCCCTGGTAAGCCATGCCTTAAAGAAATACCAAAAATTTTTCACACAAGTTCAGTTTACCCAAGTTCAGTTCACACCTCACGAAGGGCTCTATCAGTGCAAAATGTGATTTTGGATTGTTTTATTTTTATTTATTTTACAAAAATGTCCAGGAAAAATGTCATGATGCCATTTCTTACCTTAGCTCTCTGGTTGGGACCCAGGAGGAAATGAATATACTACAGATGTGAAAGGAAATTTATTATAATAATAATAATAGTTAAGAAAAGAGCACGATTTAACAAAAGATAAAGAAAAGAAAACAATGTTTGATAATGTTAAACAATATTTTAGTATAAAAGCATAAAAATATATGAATCTACAAAAAATGATAAATCTTTTTACAAACGTTGTTTGTTTACGATTTATTACTGTGTGAATACAGTAATTGCGGCACAAAGCTGAAAAAGCGGAGAGATTGGTCAAGGTTGGTCGACACTAACTGTCCTATAACTAGCTAATCAGATTTACAACCCATTCATTCATTATAATTTATTAACTCAGCATAAGAATCAATCCGTCACCATTCGTTCCTTCATACACCAAAATACCTCACACACAGGGTCCCTACTGAAAAACACCCCGTGACTTAAAATTTCAATATGTACAATTCTGTATACAAAATTATATATAAAAATTATATCAGTGAAATGATGGATGATGATCCCGAAAAACTGAAAATGAATGGTGTTAGTAGGACCCGTCTTCTAATCAAAAATTAAGAGTTATTGCTGTATTCTATCTTCCGACAAAATCAAGAGGTTCTCTCGGTAAGAGAGATGGAAGTAAAATATTATGGGTATTAGAAAATTCAAAAACTGACGCAGTCGATATAAAAAGCGCAGGTCAAAACAAAATGGGGAGGTTGGAAATCTCTATTTAGGTCATAGGGCGAAGCCGGGAACAGGCCGGGAACAGGCCGGGAACAGACCGGGAACAGGCCGGGAACAGACCGGGAACGACCTTATGAGAACAGAGATCATATCGCAAGATTTCATCCATCCACGTCGTCCAAATCACAATTCTAGCCGTGACCAGAAGTACCATTCGTTTCACCCCAGAATACGATGGCGACACACTGTCACACGCACATGTTCAATCAATGAGCATGGGCTTTTCGAGAATGATACGAGCTGTCAACTCGCCGACATAGTCCCAGAGGTGGGGCGTAACTAGGTCGCCGTAAAAACGAATCATCCACTAATTCCCGATACAAGACCATCTTAGACCGAGAAAGGTAACTGAACCGAATAATGTCCCCCAAAGCCGATAGACTCTCGAGCCGCCAAAGGATGAAGGGAAAGACGTAAGTGGCATATGACTCCGCCCTACTCGTCAAGGAGAACCGTCTTCGGCACCAAATCTCGGCAGACACGCCGACCTTTGTCTATATTTCTGTCTAATTTTTTTTCAGCTTGAGTCCGGGCCCGAACCACACTGCGAAAATGCAAATGGAACCATCAGTCCAACCCAAAAAGGCCCGGCATCTAACCGCAAACCGGAAACTTGTTGCGGTTAATCTTGGCCGCTGTGACCTTTTCGTACCATTCAAGCGCCTTCAGCACCTCCTCAAGGTCGCTGGGGATGGCACGGAGAGCCTAACTCGAGCCCCACTGGAGCGGGTCAGCGATTCCACGTAGGATTCGACGCCCTGTCCTACATTCGGTGAAGGAGAGTCTCTAACGCCAAAACGTAATGTAGAGGAGAGTGTGAGAAACTCCGACGACCGACCGATAGCGCAAAAGCGACACAGGAGGTTAATCTACTGGCAGATTTCGGGATCGAATCCAGCGGCCTGCAGGACAGCAGCCATCTACTGATGGTCGACCTTTATTAAATGCCTTAGACTGATCCAAATTGATCAGCGCGGCTTTCTCGTCGTCTTTTACACCCTCTATGATCGCGCCGATTAGATGCAAGTTGCTCTGAATTGTTCGGCCCTTCACAGAACAAGTTTGCTCGGGTCCCATCAAAATCTCGGCAACTGACTAAAAACACTGTTTAGCAGAGTTACGGGCCTGTAATTATCTAAATCCCGCCCAGCACCCTTGTCCTTCTTTAACAGCGTGATTACACTCCTGGAGGTTCGATCGGGGACGGGCTCCTGGCGGGACCAGTTGTTGAACACAGCAGTCAAAATCGATGCACTAAGCTAATCAGCTGTTGCCGGAAGTCTCGCCTGTCCAGCAAAGACAGATTGAACTTCCAGTATCCAGCCATTCTAGGGCTAGAGTCTAACGCCACCCGGGAACAGACAAGTCAGTGGTCTGAATAAGTGTGTTCACGTCAGGAGGTCACTAGTGTGGAAATGTGTGTTGTAGATGCTGAAAGGTATAAAGTATAATCAAATATTTTAATTTATTTTCTTTAGAGTGATTCCTTTGTTATTCAGTGTCACAAAAACGTTCGTTTATAAGGCGGATATTGGTACAGTAGTCCACCGCTATAGTTCGGGCCTTGGGGTCCAAGATGGCCAACTCGCGCTGCAAGTGAATCACGGTAGCTGTGGGGTGTGTGGGCGATAATAGGAGGTTGAACACCTACTTGATTTTGGGGCCTTATTTGCCCTATTTCGTACTCATTTATACCAATGAAATTTCGGGTAATTTGCTTTTTAAGTCCGGCGTTAAGTATCTAATAAAAATTTCCCGAACAGTTATTTTTATTCTAAATTTACATGCCTAATTCGAAAATAACAAAGAAATTTTTTATAAAATCTACCGTTTTGGAGTTATTGAGAATAAAATTTCGGATTCATTCATGTCGTTGTCGGCTACGGCACGGCAGCCATTATTGGCGTTGTTTGCATCAGTGCGCGAGCAATAATCGAGACAAGTGAATGACTATTCCGCAGCAAATATATGCAAACAACGCCAGTAATGGCTGCCGCAACGCGAACGAGTCCGAATTTTTATTGTCGATAACTCCAAAAAGGTAGATGTTATCAAAATTTCTTTGTTATTTTCGAATTAAGCATGTAAATTTACACGTAAATATAAGTATTCGGGAAATTTTTATTAGATACTTAGCGCGGAGCTTAAAGGGCAAATTACTCGAAATTTAAACTTATTTGATTGTTTTACAGCAGATTTTTTATACAATAAATTTTAACCGTCCTCAAAAGTACTTCCTCTTGCAATGCATTATGGTCTAGTTTAAAAAGTAGTAAGGCGTGGTAAAGGGAAAGACAAACACGAAAAGCGTGAAGTATAAGAAAATAAATTTATTTCCACAAATATCAAGTTTGCTATTCATATGATTTAAATCAGGCAATAAGCACAATAGTTATATAAGTAAATAAAAAAAAATACATTCATATTAATAAAATCATTAATGTCCATCAACTCAATGTTTAATAAAAAAAAAAAAGTGAGTAAGCTTCTTCTGCACCCTGCCCTTCTTAGCTCTCAGCTGGGTCCCCCTGAGAAGTTTTCTCAGGTGTAGGGGGGTGATGAGTTTTTCATCCTGTTGCCCTTCCACAAACTCAATGAGCCAGTGGATGTAGTCTACTGCATCAGTGTGGCTCTTGCGTGGTACTGCCTCTTTTTCTTCCTCCTCTTCCTCTTCCTCCTTCTTCACTTCATCTAGGAACTCCTGGTCTGGGAAGGAGTCTGCTGCTTTCTCGGCTGACCTCTGCTCCCTCGGGATCTTCACAGCTCCTATGCCGTGCCTCTTCTGGAAACGCTGGAGCCACTCCTTGCTGGCAATGAAATCTCCCTCACCTTCAGCTACATGGAGCTTGTGGTGAAACTTCTCTTCTTGGTGCCTCCCAATGGCATCTGAGAGAGGAGTCCCCTGGCTCTTCTCTTTCACAAATCAGATGAGCATAGCCTTGTCCAGTTGTTCATCATTGACTGTCCGGGCCTATTTTCTACACAGTCCTTCTGACTCATGGACAGTCTCTGTGAACTCTCTCAGCTTGGTCTCCTCTTTCACCCAACCCCTGAGGGTGGATTCAGGTACCCCTGTATACCTGTTGATCTTTGCTTTCAATTCACCGTTCCATATCCTATCTATCAAATACAGTTTTTCCTTTATTGTGTACACTTTACGTTTAGACATTTTGTATTAATAGTAGGGGTCGTAATTTTCCGGGAATTCCCAGGAAATTTATTCCCTAGAATTTCCGATTGCGACCCTTAATTACTACGCGCTATTTATATTTGTTTATTTATGAGCGATTCTTGATGTCTACTGTTGGACAGTCAAATTGAACAATGATCAACCAGAAAAATAATTATTTATACTCCACTCGTGGTATCTGATTGCAGTGACTGCATTCCAGTTAATTAGTCCGACATTATAGGAATTTTTTGATCGCGCATGAAATAGAAAGTAATCATGTGTAATTATTACCAATTCAATTGGATTAGGTGTGAAACGGTCGAGGTGTTAAAATTTCACAAAATTTGGGCTGCTTGATCATCAAAATCAAGATAAAACGTTTGAAAAAGGGCTGTAATTATTAAAATAATAGAGGTCCCGTCTGATGATTGCCGCTTGTTCTGTCGATCGTGAAGAAGATGGCCCAGAAATTGGTAAAATATGGTGGAATTTCTAAAAAAAAAGTGAGCGATATTGAGGGTAGGAGAGCAAAATCTTGGGGTACACCAGCCACCCACGATACACCGAGTACTGCGATAAACTGGTTCATCTAATAGCAGTTGACTGCTGTAGAAGTGTGGAGAAAGATCGTTTGTAGTCATTTTGCAGACTGTGCAATGTGTAGTAGTAATATTAGAAATAGGTCAGTGTCAATCTACTGTGTTTTTCTCGGCCCTAAGGAGGGTAGAAATATCATTAGCTGACGACCTCTTAACTACTTCTTCACGTGGTAGCGTCTTTTGTCTTTACTCTCGTTGTCCTTTTTTTTTCTGGTTCAGTGGGGTCAACTTTTATCTTCTTGAAGAGACCCTTGATTTTTTGATTCTAGCGGGAAATTGGCTTTCAGCTAAGATCTTTTATATCGGAACTCACTTCACAGGAAAATTTTGCAATCTAAGTTGCCATTTAGGATTAAACTATAGAATCTGCTAATAATTTTGTGGTATGCTCGTTATAGGCAAAATAGAAACATAATAAATGTAATATATATTTATTTAAAGTTGAGAAGAATATAAAAATCGGAAAACAGTCCTAAAATAATGACGCTTTTTATTCGCATTCGGTTCATTTTAAAGTATTCTCAAACTTAAAGTTGATTTAACTTCGAGGATTATTAATGTGACCGAAACAGAATCTCAATTTCAGGTCTTCTAACTTTTCAAGATGCATAGAAAAAATAACAGGTAAATAATACAAGAGAAATACGAATTTAAATTGTGAAAATCTGCCTTTACATTCATATGTTGAATTTAAACAAATATCAGTGGACTATTATGAAAACACAGGGATCATTTTTTAAATGAATTTATGAACTAATACGTGTTAATAGGTTAAGGGAAGTAACTCTAAAAAGCACTAAATAAGAGTTAATTCCCCTGTTTCTAGTCATTTTTTTTCCCTTAATATTTACGCGTTTGACAATGAAACAAGCAGCTTGGAGATCGAAATTGTTCAATGGGACAATGTACCTACCGACATCTTTGTTAAGACTTTCAATCGCTAGCATGATAGACATTAATTTCACTGTTGCAAAAACAACGATGAGTTTTCCAACAGGTGTATCGACGAAATATAAGGTTAAGACAAACAGATCATAATGTCGGATTAAAAATTCTTTAAATTCTTAGAAATTAACCCTCTCTTTCTGCACACACCCACCCACACACACGCACACACACACACACACACACACTGGCGCGCGCACATCTGCATGTATGGGCGCGCGCGTGCATATATGCGTGCTCAACCTGCAATTCTTTTAGTAAGTAGGGAAAGTTGTATTGAAGCGTGGACTGGACATAACCCGTTTCCAGTGAACGTATTTCTATCCGATTGATACGGTAACAAAAAATAATACGAAAAAGAAAACGTAAAAATAAATAAATTAGTTACTTGAACCGCATTATTTACCTTCTTTATGCAACATTCACAACTTGACTCAAGAAACTCGACCATCTGAGTCAACTCTCTGGCATTTAGACACATTGGACTTTATTCAAACAGAACTGACAATGGAGACATTTCAATAGAAATAACAGTCGGCTTTATTCAACTATCCAACAAATGGAGTAAAAATCCAGAGTTCGTAGCATTTCCTTTGAAAAAAATGCTCAATACAAAGTAGACCAATATATTATTATTATTATACTTTTTATTATAATAGATTGTAACAAAAACATTTTTAAATCGCTACAGTAGTGTAACATTAGTGTAGCGATTTAAAATGTTTTTATTATAATTTCTTATAATAAAAATATAATATATTGCTCTACTTTGTATTGAGCACTTTTTTTAAAAAGTAAATGCTATCAACAGTGGATTTTTACTCCGCAAATTGTATACGAAAAATGTAAACAACATAACAACATATTTTAAATTTTCTTTAAAATCCAATATTTGTCCTAGATATGAGTTACAAAGTTTATTAGTTAATTCAAGACATAACTGGATTTTTAAAAACTAATTTATATATATATATATATATATATATATATATATATATATATATATATATATATATATATATTGCACATAGAGTGCTATTCTTAATAAGATAATACTCGATGTAATATAAAAGAGTTATTAAGTATAGATTAATAAATATACATATTATCTCTTACCAGTAGCCCGACTCGGAGTTCCATGCACAACGCAATCTTCAGGTGCTAGGTAGGGACTGACCGTTACATAATTTAAATTTTAACAAAAATATCTGGTTAACGCAATGTTGGCCCTGTCAATATATTATACGCGGATTATGTTTTTTTTTATTTTAAAAATGTATATTGCATTTAAAATGGATGGGATTTTTATTTTATATATATAAAATAAACGGGGATAATTATTTTATTTTATATTTAAAATAAACGGGGAATAATGTTATTTATTTAAAAATTATATTAAAGTAGATGGACCTAAAACTATGTGAAAAATATGGTGATTTTTATTTAAAGTTGGCATTATCATTTGTCACTTAGTAATTGATGTTATATTCAGCAATTCTACTCCAGAGTTTCGTAGACGATATCTCTGTGTAATTGTTCGGTCCACTCGTCAGGAGATATCAGCAATTTTCTCGTTTTCGCTATTTTTATAAATAACTTATATGTTGATTGTTCTTCTTCTATATGTGTGTGTCTGTGTCTTTCTAAACTTGACAACTTGGTCCGACAATTTTGACTACAACTTGCGACACGGGAGACATCTTCCACCTCCTCAACGAATAACTCTCTTCATCAGTGTTTACTATCTCACTCCCCCCCACACGACACACACTAGGAATAACAGACCAGCCTAACGTTTTTACACCGATCAAAATTTTTAATTTAAGTTTATTTTCATAAAAAGTTTCGCGCATTGAGGACTCAGACAGAAATCGTTTTTTTTTTTTTGCTAACAATACGATTTCCACCAGAAAATACACCATCGATAAAAGCAACTGTCGGTGAGTAATTCCCATTTCTCTGATTATTCCTTGGTCCGTTGATAAAGGACACAGGCGTGTCCGAAAATTCCGAACTTAAAACCTTTCTTTCCGTGCTTCATTTCTGTCATATGATTAATAATTAATATTTAATAAATGTTTATCATGCTGATTATTTTGGTACCCTTTCATTTGCCCTTGTTTTATTAACCTATCTATTATATATATATATATATATATATATATATATATATATATATATATATATATGAAAAAATATATACGGAAAAAAAAAAAAAAATCCTTATATACAATTATGCTGTTTTAATGTTAATATGTCAACGTCTGACGTTTCGGTCTAATAAACCATCTTCATAAGTCTTGTTCTTTGTCATGTTGTATTGATAATGTTATATTTATGAATATGTCCTGAAGATGGTTTATTAGACCGAAACGTCAGACGTTGACATATTAACATTAAAACAGCATAATTGTATATATGATTTTGTTTTGTTTTTCCGTATATATTTTCTTCATACTGTCGGATCTATATCCATATATTTATATATATATATATATATATATATATATATATATATATATATATATATATATATATATATATATATATATATAGTGTATTTTGCGTTGTAATATTTCATTCAGTGAACTTTAGTTAAAATTATTATTTTATCGATTGATTTTTGTTTTTTCTGGATATTATTTTTGAGTTAAGTTGAACATAAAGTCTTTTGATCGCTTTCATTTTTCGGGACCGATTATCAAAGAAGATTAAAACAAAGAGTAGATTAAAGGATAACTTTTTACTTATGTGTTGTGTTTTTGTTAGTTTTCATAGTAAGTTTGTCATGTTTATGGACAGATTTTTATTATTTTATCGTTGTTTTTAGCGGATACTAGTTTTTGAGTAGACCCCCTGCTTATTTATTTAACAGTATAATTATTTATTTATTTTCGTCTACCGCCCTGACTGTTCTAGAAATCTAATAATATGCGCTCTCCTGCAGGATTTAAACCTGCGTTAGCCTAGACGTGGTTTGGACCTCTCGGCTATGCCATGCCTCGAGGAACAAGCAAAGTTGAATAGTGCTTTTTTTTTTAACACAGATTTTTTCTCTAACTCTCGAAATAGACATATCTACTCCTATCCTAATGCAAACAAAGATTTTTTTTTAAAGAAACGGATGTATTTTTTATTT